GGGTTTGATGGGATGCATGTGTTTGTTTTTTTGCTTGTGTGCAGACACCGAGTCCAGGGGGAGCTGGAAGTCACACCCGCCAGCTGGAGGAAGGCAGGATAACTGCAAGGGTGGCGAAGCTCGGCTGCTAACACTCATCTGTTGGTAGCCATGCTTAGCTAGGCTAGGGTGGGTGCAATATTAGAGGTTCCTGGGCCATGGGACTGCTACTGCGTGATTGTTTTCGCAATTTACTGTGAATTCTTCTCAAGATAAGCAGTCTCTTAGCGAAGCCATATCCGCAGTCTGATGGATTAGGGGAAGGGCATTTAGTGAAACAAAATATAAGATAAGGGGCTGAGAAGGAAACGAACAAAGATAAGGGTAAGCAGAAAGTGGGGTAGCAGAACGATACAGAGAAAGGAGAAAAAGGGGGGGGAGTCGTTGAAGACAAGGCAAGGGTGATGGGAGAGCGCCAAGGGACAATATGAGCAGAGATGGGACAGGTGGAACGAGGATGAGGGGAGGGATGTGTGGGCAGGAACAAGGGTAGCAGGGTGGGCAATGAGCTAGCCGGGTGAGGGCAAGGAGGTTTCCGACAAGACTTCTTTCAGACCTTCTCCCCCACCCCGAAGATGATCACTCTTTGGGTGCTACTGCACGTTGCTGCTCAGCGCGACTACGAGCTTCACTCTCTTGACTTCAGCACAGCTTTCTTGCAAGGCAGCCTGCACGAGAAGATCTGGCTGCGCCGCCATCCTGGCTTCACTGGGTCGTTTCCTCCTGGTACCCAGTGGAGCCTCCGGCGGCCAGTCTACGGTCTCCGTCAGGCACCACGTGAGTGGCACGACAGACTGAGGACTACTCTTGCGGCACTTGGGTTTGCGCCCTCCACTGCTGACCCGTCGTTGTTTCTGCGCACTGACACTTCGCTGCCGCCGTTCTACATCCTCGTGTACGTCGACGACTTGGTCTTTGCCACTGCTGACACTGACGCTCTCGCCCACGTGAAGTTGGAGCTGCAGAAGAGACACACGTGCACAAGCCTGGGTGAACTGCGCAGCTACCTTGGCTTGCAGATCACCCGGGACAGAGTACGCCGCACCATCACACTGACTCAGTCACACATGGTGCAGCAGGTCCTTCAGCGCTTCGGCTTCACCTGGTTTTCAGCACAGGCGACTCCTCTGGCTATAGGTCACTCGCTTTCAGCTCTGCCTTCGGATGAGTCCGTAGAGCCGAGTGGTCCTTACCCAGAGCTAGTTGGTTGCCTCATGTATTTGATGACTTGCACTCGTCCTGACCTAGCATACCCTCTTGGCCTTCTTGCCCGCTACGTGGCTCCTGGCAGGCACCGAAAGGTGCACTGGGATGCTGCAAAGAGGGTATTGCGCTAACTGTGCAGTACATCGGGCATGGGGCTCGTGCTTGGAGGAGGGAGCTCAGTTGTTCTCACTGGGCACTCAGACGCTTCTTGGGTTGACGACCAGGCTATTCAGCGGTCGTCACAGGGTTACAGCTTCAACCTTGGCTCTGGTTCAGTTTCTTGGCGTTCTACTCGCTCGTCTTATGTTTTCAGCTCCAATTGTGAGGCTGAGATCTACGCCACAGCCATGGCTGCCCAGGAGCTACGCTGGCTCACCTACCTGCTGACCGAGTTGGGAGAGCGGCCTAGTTCTCCTCCAGTGCTGTACGTCGACAACAAGGCTGCCATTGCCTTGTGTGAGGAGCACAGACTGGAGCACAGAACGCAACACATCGCTCTCCGTTACTTCTTGGCTCGAGAGCTGCAGCAGCGTGGTCAGCTTCGTCTGCGTTACGTGGCCACTCAGGCCAACACCGCTGATATATTCACCAAGGCACTTCAGTCTGGTGAACATCAGCGTTTCTGCACTTTGCTTGGGCTTGTGCCCACTTTTCCTCACTTGCTGTAGGCTTTGCCTGTACTGTGATCTCTCTATATATATATACCTGCCTCTTTGCTTTGCTAGGTTGAGATCACCTTGCTGTTTGTGTTGCATATATGCCTCTGCATGTGAACTGGCCCTGAGGCCCTGTACTTGTGCTCAGAGTGTGTGGTGACGTTGTAATCCGCCCTGAGCTTGTTTGCCTTTCTTGACTGGTCTTGTAACCCCTTGCTCTCCCCCACTTTGCCTATGGGGGTGTGTCAAACACTATATATGTGTTATTGCTGTGTAGGCTATAGTGGGTTAGCCTTTAGGGGGTACACAACTCTAGGGTTTCATACCTGTACTGCAATGTTGTGTAGTTCATTCACTTCTCTCATTCTGACACATCTATGACTATTCACGTGATTTTTTACCAGTTAATTGTGACATACTAAAAGTTTTTTCAATCACCTGAGAACACCCTTTGCTGTGACTGTACCCCCTATTTTTTTACAAAAAATGTTGTCTACACCCATGCTGGTTAGGAATGGCATTTTTTCCCGAATCTTTGGTGCCAAGGGTCTCACGTGGCATGCTGCTCGGGTAAAAAGATCTCTTGAAGAGATCACATGGCATGCTGCCTGTACCACCACAGTTGTCAGGCAATCCCTTTGATCGGTTCAACATCCAGAGCTGTCGCTAGCCAATCCATTCTGCATATGAGACGATCCCTCACGCTCCTAGTCACTGAACCAGCACTGCCTATTTTGACTCAGAACCGACATTCGTCAAATACCTAGTGACATTCTCTGACTAGTGACATTCTCTGACTTTTGACTATGTCGTTAATTTGTCTGATTGTAACTAGCGAATCTACCGCCTCCGCCGAGATCCGTTCCAAAACTTGGGACTCTTGGTCGCTTTCGTCTCAATACACTGTAAAAAGCACAGTGCTGGTGAGGTGAGCGAGATGTGCTGCTGCTGCTGTTGAGTTGCCTTGTCATGCCACATGCCGGGGCCCGGGACCTGAATCTGACGGTGTACCTGCACTGATTTGTCACACGGTCTGGCCATCACGACTCATCATTGATTATGAACGATTTATGAATATTTCGCTGTAGTTATTCGAGCTGCCGCGATCAACTGACCGGAGGCGGGGTTGTTCCGCCCGCTCATCATTCAAGCCATTCCGCACGCTGCCTCAAGCCGAAGCTGTGTGTTCAGCATGGCGGCAGCACCAAACCAAAGAGCATCACGCCCCATCATGCCAGCCCGTCGATATTTCCGACCCCCGTTCCTCTCGTTGGCTTTCCCGCGACTCCCCCGCCCTCCCCCTTTTCCTCCTCCGAGGTTGCCACTTACAGGAGTCCTGTCCCCCCTCCTCCCCCCTGCCTCCTCCTAAAATCCCCTCTCCCTTTCTTTCTGGAGTCATTCTTTATCGGGACAGCAGAGGCTTTGACTCAGGAGAGAAAGGGGAGAGGGAGGAGATTTAGGAAGGAAGCGTGTCTGGCATGCTCGCTTCGCGCTTCAACAACTCCATCCCCCGCGCTCCCTCCAGCCATGCTCGTCACAGCATGATGCTGCGTGCACGCACGCTTTCCCGTTCAGAAAAACAGATTCTGTTCCATCGTGTGATTACCTTTTCTGCCAGTGCACGCACGCCATCGGAGCACAAGCACTGCTCCTCCATTCTCCCAAAGGTTCATACGAGCAGGAACAGTAAAACACGGGCGATTGCGTGATCGCCCCCGCCTGCTCGCGGAAGTGATCTGCCCGCGGGCAAGAAAAAAACTAAAACCCGCTCGGAAGGCATGCGGCTCGGGAGCATCAACCCTAAAATTTTAGGGTTGAGGCTCCCGAACGGCATGCCGGTCGCGATGGGGAATAGTTTTTTTTGCCCCGGGCAGAAAGCTTCCGCCGGCTCCGCGTCCTGGTGGATTCGAAACCCACCAGGAGAGGGACCTGGTGGGTTTGCGTCCTGGTGGTTTCCCCCGCTTATTGCTGGGTGGGATCCTCGCAGTCGCAGTCAGAGCACTGCTCCACTCGACGAGTCCGCATAAAGTGCTACTTACTGTAGTTGAGATCCGTCCATTTACGGTGTATTACACGGTACTGTAGGTAAATCCGCGTACACGACCCTGGTCGACAAGCTGAATCATCAGGCTGAACTGTTGCTGCTGGTAAGAATGATGTTCGTATAGTCTACGTGTACACGTGTACTCTAGCTGTCCTCCACGCACGACAGATGTCCTAAACAAGTTGTTTCTTGCAGCTCCGGGACGTACCAAGCACTGCCAGTTTACGGTACGAGGACTAGCTGGCTTCCAGTTGTCGACGGCTGACTGTCTGGCTGACCTTGGAGACTTTTGAGTCGACTCAAAAGTCACCTTGCAGCACCGGGACGTACCAAAGCACTGCCAGTTTACGGTACTAGGACTAGCTGGCTTCCAGTTGTCGACAGCTGACTGTCTGGCTGACCTCGGAGCCTTATGGTAGCCTTGAAGTGAGAAGAGAATTCCTGACTCGGGGCACTACTCAGCTTCCAGCTGCGGTTCAAACTCTTCCAGATTCAGCTTCTGCGAGAGGCTAGTAGTCAGTGTAATATCACGCGGTTTTCTGTTTATTTGGCCGTCTAGCCCCGCGGTTTGAAAATACTTGACGATGAGGCAGCAGCTACTTGCTAACTCAGCTTTCTGCGGTTCAAACTCTTCTGCTGACTCCCCAAGAAGCCCGGAGTAGAACCACTACTGCGGTTTCTGTTCGATCAGGTGCCGCGTTTCCGCCACTACTCTGCGGAGTTCGGAATTGCGACTACTTCTGTCGCCCCTCTCCCCCCCAAGAGGAGGTCACGCGGCTAGCCATCCCCGTTCCAAGAAGCCGCAGCGCCGCTGCAAACCGGGGATAACGCGAGTACGATTTGATAAGTACTACTGCTATTAAGGTAACCTAAGCGTCCTCGTGTGACCTTGAAGCGCCTAACAGCCTGTGAACCGACTCGGACTTTCAATAAGTTTTTGGGATGGAAAGATCCAAACAGACCTGCTACTAGGACTCTTGCATTCTGAAACTCCGATCCGGTCCGCGTTCTCCCCTCTCTCGTCTACTATAGTAGACCGTTCACTAGGGCGTTTTATGGCTGTGGATTACCTGACGGGCGCGATCATCATGACACCCAGCAGCAGCAGCAAGCACACTGGGGCCACTGGAGCCACTCTCACAGGCCCTGCTGCTAGTACCACAAGCAACAACACCACCAGCAGCACTGGCGCCAGCAGCATGATGAGGGCGCCACGGCAGCCCCAGGCCGCTGCCACCGCCGGGGGAACTTCCCGTGGTGCTGGGACTGCAAGCGGTGCTGGGACTGCCAGTGGTGCTGGGACTGCAAGCGGTGCTGGGACTGCCAGTGGTGCTGGAACTGCAAGCGGTGCTGGGACTGCCAGTGGTGCTGGAACTGCAAGCGGTGCTGGGACTGCCAGTGGTGCTGGAACTGCAAGCGGTGCTGGGACTGCCAGTGGTGCTGGAACTACAAGCGGTGCTGGGTGCGGCACCGGCGGAACGGCTCGCAGTAACGTGACCAGCACGGCGAATTCGGCGGGGAATGCACCACTGGCGCTGCGTCAAGAGGGGTCCGCCCAACAGCTCTCGACCACCGCGTTTCCTGCAGCGAGCGCCGGCGGTGGCAGTGGCGGTTGTCACGCTGCGGAAGGGGCGAATCCGGGAGCCAGCAGCGGCGCCCCTGCGTTCGCAACACTGTTCCCGCAGTGGGCAGCAGTGGACGCGGAGCAGCTGAGCCGCGTGGCCCACGACGTGATGCCGGAAGATGGGCACTGCTGGCTCAAGTACGGGGAGAAGCGACTCGTCAAGTCCTCCTGCCGCAGGTGAGCGTGAGTGTGACTTGGAGCCAGATGTAGAGAGGGTGTTTGTGACGCGTCTCAAAAACACCCTCTCTACAAGGCACGTGGCCCAGGGCGTGATGCCGGAAGATGGGCAGTGCTGGTTCAAGTACGGCGAGAAGAGACTCGTCAAGTCCGCCTGCCACAGGTATGCTTCATAAGGGGCCAACAGGTGGTCCTCCTGTCCGCCTGTGTCTGCCCTGTGTCCGCCTGTCCGCCTGTCCGCCTCCCCGCCTGTCCGCCTGTCGGTCCCCTCACCTTGCTACAGTGCTGCCGTTACCCCCTTGTCACTCCCTCTGTTTCCCATCCCCACATCATCGCATCTGGCCCCTTTTGGTTCTCATCCCTTCTCTTTCGCCCCCCTGCTCCCCCCTTTCCCACTCCTCTCAACCTTCCCCCACTCCTCCCCCTTCTCTCCCCTCTCCATGCTCTCCCCGTTCCGCAGGTCGTACTTCCGTTGTGCGCGCTCCACGTGCCGCCGTCCGCCAGCCAGCGCTGACACTCGCCAGGACGACGCAGGAGCGGCATCGTCACCAGCCGCACCCGCATCAGCAACGCCACCTGCAACACCAACATCATTATCCAAGCAAAAGGCAACACCGGCAGCGGCAGCAACGGCAGCAACGTGTTCAGACTCAGCTGACCAGCCTGCTGCGGGATCAGGTGCTGCTGGCCCTGCTGCTAATTCCGATGCCCCTGTTGTTGCTGCTGACGGTGCAGCTTCCGATGCTGATTCTCCTCCTCCTCATCCCAAGGCTGATCCTGATGCCGGTGCCGATGCTGCCACTGATGCTGACACTGATAATGCTGCTGATGCCAGCACTGCCACCCCAACCGCCGCCTCTCCCCCCACCGTCTTCCACCCCTGTCCGGCTCGCAAGCGGGTCGACTGGCAACTAATGCATCTCACTCCTGCCACCCACCCGTCGCAGCTGCCGCCCGGTTTCGACGCGGCAGCGCACCTCCGGGCGGCAGGCAAGCCGCCCGCGTCCATAGTTTTCTTCCGAGTGTCGTACCTGAACAAGCACAACCACAGTAACCCGCCCATTGGCCTCCAGTTAGTGTCCTCTGGAGCACCAGATGCAGCTTGTCATGCTGGGGGTGTGAACTGCGCCCCGTCACCAGATGCAGCTGCTGCTGCAACAGGCCTAACTGGGGTTTGGGCGGAGAATGCAACAAAAACAGAGATCGTGGGTGAACAGCAGCCACCGTCACAACAGCAGCATTTGTTGCAGCAGCATTTGGTACAGCAGCAGCACATGCAGCAGCGGCTGCAGCAGCAGCAGCAACAGGGACAGCAGCAGCAGCAACAACAGCAGCAGGAGCAAGGGCAGCAGGAGTGGCAGCAGCAGGGGCAAGGGCACCAGCAGCAACAGCAGCAGCAGGGGAAAATGAGTTCTCCTGGCCCTTCACGGTTCCCGACAGCCGAGCACACATCATCGCACACACAGCACGCTGCACCAGCACATTCCCACAGGCAGCAGATGCAGCCCCCGCAACAGCTGCAGCAGCAGCAATCGCAGCATCAACAGCAGCCGCAGCAGCAGCAGCAAGAGGAGTGCATAGCTGTGCTGAAGTCCAATTCCGCCCTGTGCTGCCTGAACCAGCAGCGCTCATCCACACCCACATCTCTGGGCAAGCGATCGCGTGAATCTGACCCCTCCTTGATGTCAGAGCCATGCTTGCCCTCTCAAATGTCAGAGCCATGCTTGCCCTCTCAAATGTCAGAGCCATGCTTGCCCTCTCAAATGTCAGAGCCATGCTTGCCCTCTCAAATGTCAGAGCCGTGCTTGCCCTCTCCTGCTCCCCACGCAGTGACTTTTGAGTCGACTCAAATGTCAGACCCGTGCTTGCCCTCTCCTGCTCCCCGCGCACGATACGCCTCCCAGGACTTTAATTTCCCAACCTTGGACTCGAATCAAGGATACCAACGCCCCCACCGGCTCCGGCCCTCCTTTGAACCGCAATTCGTTTGTGGGGGATTCCGCGTGGCTCACGCCTCTCAAGCGTCTCCGGTCTCTGCCGCGAATCACGCCTCTCCTGCCCCTCACGCCTCTCCTGCCCCTCACGCCTCTCCTGCTTCTCACACTCCTCCCTTCTCTCACGTGTCTGCCGCATCGCACGTGTCCTCTGCTTCCCCTGCCGCCTCTCACCCGTCTCATGCATCACTCACCTGTGCTGCCGCGACTCACTCCTTCACGCCGCCCAAGCCGATAAAATTGAGCTTTTCTCCTCCCGCCGATTGTGAATCTATGTGGATCAACAGCGGCGACCAGGGGGAATGGAAGGATCTTGGGAGGTGCACTGTGGAGCAGCCGTTGCCTCAGCAGCAGCAATTGCCGCAGCAGCACCAGCAGCGGCAGCAACCGCAGCAGCAGCTGCAGCAGCAGCTGCAACAGCAGCAAACACAGCAGCAGCAATGGCAACTGCAGCAGCAGTGGCAGCCACGGGAGCAGCAACAGCAGCAATGGCAATTCCAGCAGAAATCGCAGCAGGAACAACAGGTGCAGCAGTGGCAACCGAAGCAGCAGCAGCAGTCTCTTACACTGCTCTCGTCCCCCACCCGTCTGGCTGTTTCTGCTGCGGCCAACCCTGCCGCTTGCAACGCTGCCCCTTCTTTTGGTGCTGCCCCTTGTTTTGCTGCTGCCTCTTTTGCTGCTGCCCCTCCTTGTGTCGCTGCCCCTCCCTTGGGTGCTGGTGCGATGTCTGCACACGAGGCCCTTGAAACGACCACCATTGCTAGAGAGAGGGCTCCTGGTGGTGTTGCCGCTGCTGGTGCTGGTGTTTCCATTGGTGTTGATGTTGGTGCTCTTGGTGTTGGCACAGCTGGCGCTGGTGCCGCTGGTTGCGGTGCTGTTACTGCCAGTTCTGCTCCCATCGTCCCCCAATCTGCATCTGCAGCTGCCCTTTCAGGCACCCCCCCTCAAAATAGCCCCCAGTTCAATGCCCTGTTAAACGCTCCTCTTTATGCTCCTGTGAGTGCCCCTGCAGACTCCCACTCTCTGCTGCTCTCTGTGCTGCGCTCAAATCTCTCCCGCGCCGACCTCCTGTCAAGCCCCCACGGGGACGGCAGCAGCCCGATCAGCAGCACCAGCTGCAGCACCAGCTTCAGCACCAGCTGCAGCAACAATAACACTGGGAGCAGAGCAGGGAAGAACGCTTGGAATAACACCGGTGGCGAAAGGAACAACAACAACGCTGGGAGCAGAGCAGGGAAGAACGCTTGGAATAACACCGGTGGCAAAAGGAGCAACAACTGGAGCAGCGAAAGGAACGACAGCTGGCGCGCCGTGGCGGGCGGCGGCATAGACGGCTACGGGCGGCCGATGAGCAGAAACGGCAGCGCCACCAACGCATCTGTAGCGGCTGTGCCTGCCCCTGCGTCGGGTGACGGCATTGGCGGTTACGGGCGGTCTATTTGCAGGAGCAGTGGGAATGATTCAGGTGTGGCACCTGTGCCTTCCCCCGGGGGGGGGCGGGGGGATTGGCGGCATTGGTGGTTACAGGCAGTCTATGAGCAGGAGCAGCGCGACTGATCGGGGTGCGGCTCTTGTGCCCACCGCTGTGACTGCGGTGGGTGACCAGTTTGATGACTCAGCGCCACGTCAGCTGCAGGGGCTGCTGGAAGATATGGTGCCACGTCAGCTGCTGCAGGGCTCGCAGCGAGTCACAGGAGCAGGACAGTATCGCGTGCCATCTGATGCTGCAGCAACAGGAGCATCAGGAGCGTCGTTTCAGACCCCAGCCACATCAGTAGCACCGGATAAGGCAGCAGCAGCAGCAGCAGCAGGGGCAGTAGCAGCAGTGCCGTTTCAGACCACAGAAAGCATTGCAGTGGAAGCGGAACGATCGGTACAACGGCAACTGTGGGGCCCGCTCCAACCTCAAGCTCAAGCCGCCGCTGTGACACCATCGGTGGTAGTACCTGCTGTTGCGCCTGCTGTTGCACCTGCTGTTGTACCTGCTGTTGCAGAAAATCAGGCGCTTCTGTTCTTGTCGTCTCCACTGCTCCCTATCACCACCACCCACACCCCGTACCAAGCAGAAGCAACAGCAACAGCAGCGACAGTAGGTACAGTAGCAACAGCCGCAGAGCTGCATTGCACGTCGCCTCATGCCCTGCCACAGTCACTCGCTTCTGAGCTGTCTCCCGCTGCCATGCCGCCGCCCGCCGCTGCGTCGCCGCCCGTTGCAGTGTCACAGACCGCTCTTGTGCTGGAAACCCCGTGCTGTCAGTGTGGGTCCTGGCAATCCCAAGGGCCGGGACAGCAGCAGCAGCAGGAGCAGCAGCAAGTGCAGCAGCAGCAGCAGCAGCAGCAGCAGCAGCAGCAGCAGCAGCAGCAGCAAGCAGTGGTGCTTCAGATGAGGCTCAAAGCTCCAGCCCAAGGGTGTGTTACGCAGGCTGCAGTGGAAGCCAAGCCAGAGGCTGTTGTGATTGAGATGCCACCAGCACAGTTTCAGGCTTCTCAAGTGGCTATGCAACCACAGCTCCCATCACCTTCTCTCACCACTCCTCCTGACCCCACTCCGCTGACCACTTCTCTCACCACTCCACCAGCCGCTATGGGCACTTCTCCAAACGGCACTGCCCCAGCCAGCGTGCATCATCCCGTCGCCTCTCTCCCTCCCGTCGCCTCTCTCCCTCCCGTCGCCTCTCTCCCTCCCGTCGCCTCCCTCCCTCCCATCCCCAACCACTTCCTGAACCTCGTTCCGAACCACGAGCAACATTCAGGCAGTGCTGCTGCGCACCTGCACCAGTTCCACATCCCCCAGATGCCACCTGCGCAGGCAGCTCAGGCTGCTGAAATCCAAGCCAGCATGAGTCACACTCGCGATTTCATGGGCATGGCCTGCAATTCTGTGTGGGCCTCTGATGTCGCTTTCAGTCCTGCGGTTCCAACCACTGCTGCTGTTGCTGCTGGGCAGACTCCGGTGATGCGATGCACTCGCACTTTGAGCGTAGGGCTTGATGACTTGAGTGGTACGGGTGGCATGGGTGGCTCGTGCGGCATGGCTGGCATGGGTGGTGGGGGAGGCATGGGCGGCACGGGCGGCATGGGCGGCACGGGCGGCATGGGGGAGGATGAGTTGCTGTGGGAGGCGGCAGCATGGCTGGCAGAGCAGGGAGGGCTGGAGGCACTCGATTGGCTGCCAGAACTGTCAGGTTGATGTCAGAGAGGCAGTTATGTATCGTTCACGCGGTAACCTCAATAGAAGGGGGTTGGAACGAGGAGAAGGATTGATTGTACTTGAAAATTGGGAGATTTGAAGCGCGGAGATCGAAGATGTTGAGCAAAGGTGCTGTTTATGTTGTCAGAGTCGGCAAGTGTTTATGTTTTCAGAGGTGTACATGTGTGATACTCAAGTGTGTGTGCGTGTGCCCGCTTATAAAGAGTGTTGTGTCCGTGATCTAGGTAATTTCGTTGGAACACATCATCATGTAAAAGCTGCTTGTTGGAAATAAAACTGGTTTTGGCTTTTGTTTCGTGTATGTCTCCAGTGTATGAGTTGCGAAGTGGTGAACTGAGAACTAACTTAAATCAAATAATCATCATAACGTGTACGACTGTGTCTCACAGACCAGACCGACCAGGGAAAACCAAGGAAACGGCGTTGTACTATCAGTCTACATGGAGGCAACAAGGGCGGGCGGCTATGGAAGCGGATCGCGTGCCGACATGCGCGGCTTCTAACTCGCGGATGTTTCCCTGTCCATCACTGCAGTCTATTCGACCGTCGCATTTGGCTCGGCCGTTACCGTCACTAGTCAGCTCTCCACTTCTCCTGCTGCATTCTGCGCTTCGGCTTGCCGCCATTGCTAGTAGCAGACGGCGTCCGTCTGGCCACGATGTTTTTTGTCAGACGTGGACGTACGCCAGCGAGCTTCTCAGCAATTCAACCATTATTTTCCGTAATTTCGTTAATTCAACTGTGGAATGCTCCGCTTGTAGGTGGCGTTGTGGAAAGACGATCGCGTCTTGATAGTGGCAGCCTCATTGTCCTAATAAGCGCGAACAAACCTGTATTAATAAGACATTTTGCAGCCGCAAGACCTCTGACAACAGCGAGGTCGTCTAGGGCGAGACCTCTAACGCGGTCTAGCAGTCGAATTGGCGTGGCCTGTGGCGCAGAAGGCAGAGCGGCAACCGCGAACGATCTGTGGACGAGACGGCTGGCGCTACTGCTGCGGGCGAAGCTTCCGACGGATGGCCGCACATCAGTAACGATAACGACTCTAACGGGGCCACTGATAGCAAGGCTGATTCAATCGGGGACGCGGCGCGGCAAATTTGGGACGTGAGCGGGCGCGATCTGATGCAGGGGGCACTAGAGGCGAGCGGCGTGCGACTCGAGATGCCGATGCTTGTGACCCTGCCCTGGCTGGACGGCACAATGAGAGGAGATGGTTGGGGCTAGCAAGGTGCAGGGAATGGGGTCACTTTTGACAGTTCTCAAAGGTTACACTGTGTGACGCGAGTTGCCATTGCTGGTGTACCTGCCCGGACTTGACGGAACGGGGAGAGGTGGTAGGTGATAGTGGTTGAAGGGGCGAGCGAAAGGGGCGCGGGTTTCGGGTTTAGGGTGTAGTCTTTTGCCTGAGGTGACTTTTGAGGTACATCAAAGATGTCTGAGGTGCCGGCTCTTCTGCCCAGGTACTTGTGGTCTACTTTTGAGGTGCCTCAAAAGTTGGCAAAGACTTGCTCGCTCACCAATCTCCCGCTTCCTTCCTCAGACTCCTCTACCTGCCACTGCAGCCTCCATTCTGACAAGACTATGCTAATCCATCACCGCCTCGGCCGCATCAACTTCCGCGCACTTTCTAATCTTGCCACAAAACAACTCCTTCATAGCCTACTAGCCTCCCTTCCATCACCTCCTCATCCAGGGCCACCTTGCCTCGACTACGCATATAGCAAGATCTGTGAACAGCCCCATCCTCCCACTCAGTCCGTCTCCACTACACCTCTAAACTGTGTGCACATGAACCTTTGGGGTCCCGCTCTAGTTCGTTCTCGTGGAGGGATTTCCTACTTCCTTGTCATATGACTGCTCCCGCTATGTTTCCGTCCATCTTCTCACTTACAAGACAGAAGCCTCAGCCACTATCATAAAATGGGTCCGGCGGGCTCAAACACACTTCAATACCAAAATCGAGTGCCTACACCTCGACGGTGGTGGGGAATTCCGAAATCACACTCTAAAGTGCCATTCTGCTTCATACCTTCACTCCCCAAGACGGTCCTCAGCAGTATGGCATTGTTGAAAACCCAAACGGCATCTTGGTACAGATCGATCGTTGCCTCCTCACTCACGCCTCTGCCCCTCCCTCCCTTTGGGGATACGCCATGCTCCATGATGCTGCCCTCCACAATCTCCATCCTCATCCTCACTACGCCCACACCACCCCCGTTGAGCTATGGACGGGTCAGAAGCCGTCCGTCCGCCCTCTCCGTGTATGGAGATGCACCTCATATATCCCCCTCAACTCCCAAGCCTGTCGTGCAGCAAGCGGCAAGCTCGCTCTCAAGACAATCACCTCCGTGTATCTCGGGCACAACTCTGACTCTCCAAGCTACGTTTTTCTCCATCCTGCCACCAACAAGCTCTTTCGCACCCGATATGTCTTCTTTTATGAGTCTCACCCGTTCTACCCCTCTATCTCTTCCCCATCTCCTCCTCCTCCTTCTCTTACCTGAGCTGATTTTGATAGTCCTCCTGCCGCTGCCACCCCATCTCCTCCTCTTCCCGCTCCCTCCACCATGTCGGACCCTCCACCACCCACTTCTCCTTCTAGCATTACTCAGTCACCCTCGCTCCTTCCCTCCTCCTCCCCTCCTTAGTCATCTCCTCCTGTTCCAACTCCTCCTGCTCCTTCTCCTCCCGCTTAAGCTCCTACTCCTGCTCCCACTTCTACCGCGCCTCTTCATATCAGAACCTACAATCTCATGCTCCTTCTCCTCCCCCTCTAGCTCCTGCTCCCACTCCTCCTATCGCGCCTCTTCCTATCAAACCCTACAAAAGCCATCCTCGTGCTCCTTCTCCTGCTTTGCCTTCGAGTGGTTGGGGGCCATTGTCGCATAATGTGATGCCTTCATTCACACGGAGACTGTCACAGATGTCTCTCCTCCCTCCGCCGTCAACATCGTTCATGGAAAATGAGTTTTTTTTTTTCGGGTGAAACGACTTACAGGTCATCTCCCGGTTTTCAAAGCACGGTATTGTGCCGAGGGATTTACCCAAAAGCAAGGACCTGACTTCTTTGAGACGTCTTCACCCACACCCAAAACCCCCACACTACGCTCCCTTCTTGATGTTGCTGCTCGAGATGACAGGGAGGCTAACTGCATGAAAGTGTCTTCTGCCTTTCTCCAAGGGTTCCTTTGAGAAGGAATCTATATGGAGTGGCCCAAGGATTCCCAGCTCCCTTTCCACCAGACACTGTATGGAAGCTGAATCGGCCAGTGTATGGCTTCAAGCAAGCACCCCGGGAATGGCACAACAAGCTCAAAGGCACCTTGGAGTCCCTCGACTTTCACCCATCCACCTCTGATCCCAGCCTCTTCATCAGAGCAACCCCACCCCGCTTTTTCATCCTGGTTTGTGTCGAAGACAAATATCATGCTGAGCTTGCTACAGTCAGAACCGCAGTTTGTGAGAAGCTGGCCATGAAGGGTCTTGGAAAGGTGACGAACTATTTGGACTAGGAAATCACATATGATCGCACAGCCCGCACATCACCTTTTCGCATAAATTTTACACTAACAACGTCCTAGAGCGGTTCAAATTGGAGAAAGCAACACCAATCCCTACCCCACGCTCTCTCCAGGACTAGCTCACTGCACCTTCTTTTCCCTCAGAGCGCTTTGACAAGCCATACCCCGAGCTTGTTGGATCCCTCATGTACGCGATGATGTGCACACGGCCAGACTTGGCCTACCCAGCCAGTGTACTACCTCACTACGTTGAACCTGGTCGCTTCACCAACCAACACTGGTGTGCCGCCAAGCCGGTTCTTCGCAACCTTAAAGGCACACATGATTATTTGCTCACTCTTGGCGACTCTTCACCTGTTTGCCTTGAGGGGTACAGTGATTCTTCATATTTTGATGACCACAGTAATCGGCGCTCTTCTCAAGGGTATTGCTTTACCCGTGGCAGTGGAGTCGTGAGTTGGCGCTCCACTTGATCATCCTCAGTTCCACTGTCGTCCTGTGAGGCAGCGCTGTATTCCGAGACCATTTCTGCCTAGGAGGCCTGTTGGCTCTCCTTTATTTTTGCAGAACTCGGGTATCCTCAACCACCTCCCACATTTTGGTGTGATGATGGAAGCACCATTCATCTCACAAAGAGCCTCGGCTTCCATAGCTGCACCAAGCACATGAGGTTCGGCATTAATCCCTCCAACTACAACCTTGCTAATATGTTCACCAAGTCACTTGGTCGCCAGGACCATCACCACCCCCTCACTTCCGTAGGTGTTCGGTTGTCCTGTGGTTGATGTGTTACAGCCTACGAGGTGTGTTATGAATGTACTGTCAATACTATTTTTTATATCGCGAAGGCTATTTGTAGGTTGGGTGTAGATTTATCATCCCAACCTTATCTAGTTGGGATCCCCTCGTAGTCCAACTAATCTGCCAACTTATCATTGGAGATTTGGTTGGATTCCCATCCCATCCATTCCATCACCTCCTTTTCATCCAAGGCCGCCTTGCCTCAACTGCGCACAAAGCAAGCCCTTTGAACAGCCCCATCATCCAGCTCAATCCATATCCACTACACCTCTAAACTGCATACACATGGACCTTTGGGGTCCCGCTCCAGTTCGTTCTCATAGTGGGCTTCTCTACTTCCTTGTCATCATTGAAGACTACTCCCGCTATGTTTCCGTCCGTCTTCTCATTTCCAAGTCCGAAGCCTTAGCCATTATCATGAAATGGGTCAAACAGGCTCAAACGCACTTCAAGACCAAAATAGAGTGGCCACCCTCCGACGGTAGCGGAATTCCGAAATCACACTCTCAAAGCATTCTGCTCCCCTTAGGTATCCTTTAGACCTTCACTCTCCCTGACAGTCCTCAACAAAATGGCATTGTTGAAAGCCCAAACCGCACCTTGGTACAGATCGATCGCTGCCTCTTCACTCACGCCTACTCCTCCCTCTAGTAC